GTTGGGAACTATGAGAGGAGGTCGGATCGCTATCGCCTACATGGCATTTTAATCCTGTTTTATTGCATTTAAGCAGACTCCCGAGGAGCACACAAAAAAGAAGACAATATGCAGTCAGTTCTCCGACTTCTCCGTCTACTCCCATCCATCCTTTTTGTTCTTCAGTAAATTGATGGTGAGGCTATTTATAAATCGTTACATTTAATGTATATATCATATAGAGGAATTTATTAAATGCCAAGGCTATCGGCTATGTACACTTCTCTCATGTTCTTTGCTGTCCATTTTTTTTTCATACTCTTTTTTTTTATATAAAGTCTCTCTCTTCGCGTTCCTAATACACGGATGCTGAGTGGATTAAGTTGAACCAAAGAACAATGCGTGGTTCTCTTGTTCTCCTTTGACTCGAGTCTTTATAAAAGGCGCATTTAGTTCTTGAGCCCGTAATGCGATTCCAACTAAATGGATAATGATCTAGCCAGTAGAAAGTTGACCGTTCACTTACTATTATTAAACCAGATCCGAGGAACGGCCTTGTCCACGCCACCGCCTTAGAGTGAACCCGAAACCTCAGCATTACGGAATTTCACCGTTAAACAAAAAATGTGGTGCAAAATGCGCGTTTCAGGTAAAATACAAGATTAATCACTTCGCCAAAAATATAATTGCATTAGTCACTAAAAGTCTGTTGGAAATACCCTTTTTCTTGTACGACATTAATCATCCGAAGATGTTTTGTTTCCCAAAACTTTTTGGTACAAGGCAATTATATATTTCGGGGTTTTCTACAATTCAATCACAAAAAAGCTACGTTTTCGGAATACTCATTCCATCAAATTTAGTTCAAGTATTTTTTTTTTCGGGGTTTGAGTAATTTAACCTATTTTTGTCAATCGAATTTACGTAATTTTTATGGTTTTCGATTTTCTTTGATCCAATGCTTTTTCTTATACATTTGCACACTTTTAACTACATTAATTTTATAGATTATGTAAGTTTTAGGTTATATTCTAATTAAGGTTAGGTTAGATTACTTATTTGAAGTAATTTAACCCGAGTTTACGTAAATTCACGTAATTTTAACGGTTTTCAATAATAGATCCATTGTCTTATATTACTTACTTACTTAAACTAATTTTACATAATTTTAAATTTTAATTAGATTTTCATTGATCATCATTATTCATTGAAGTTTATTTTTATATATTTTAATTATATTAATTGTATATATTAGGTTAGGTTTAAATTTAAGAAATGTGACTTACAAAAAGTTACAAAGGTTAGAGACAATAAACCTAACCTGTTAGTATTATTATAAACAAAACAAATAAGTACTAAAATTTTATTTTAATTAACTAAAATTACTAATTTGCAAATGTTTTTTTTTTAATTCTGAAAACATTAGTATTTATTTTATTTTTAAATACAATTCGCAACAAATATTATTGATTTTACTCATTTAATAAAACGAAATTGACGTAATTTGTGGTTTCTTCTTTTAATAATAGTAAAGAACTTTCGATTTCTATTGATCATCATTATTCATTTCAGATTATTCATAGATGATATACGAAATTAGAAACACATTTATTATAAAACCACTTTCTTTTTTCATTTTTTTTTTTTATTTAATTATGAATCAGATAAAACAACTAAACCCAAATTTGATTACACAATCATACGTTAATCTTAAGTATAGCTTAATTTATTTAATCATATTTTAATCTAAAGTATAGTTTGATTTTAATTAATCTTATGATTGTTTATGTGAAATGAGTGCAATTTTTAAGTATACATTTTTATGTAATTAAAATTACTTTTACTATTTTATAATTAGTTTAGTGAATGAGTAATTGTTTGTGAATTACATATCGACTTTATAGAAGTAGAAGCAATTACAGGATCTTAATGACCTTAGAGAAACTAGGAGCGGCAATTCTTCAACATCGCTGTAAACCTATTTGACTTTATAAGACTTTTAAAAGAATTATTTATTGCTTAAACTGTTCACTAAATTATTTACAAAAGTGCAAATATTATTTCTTATACAACAATAACTCGCTTCAATTAGTCCGGATTAGTCTATACAGTACGTTTTTAAAATGTCCAAATAAACAAGTTAAGTTCCTAGATTAGTACGGTTTCAAACAATCCGGAATATTAGCCAATTACACGAACTATTCGAGGTTTAAACAATACAATGTAAATATTTTCTACCTATAGTTATAATTATTAACTAAATTTAAGACTAAAATTGAAGAATTTTAATATAAATTTAGGAAGCCGAAAATTATCCAAATATTTCAATTAAAAAGTCTAAAGCTTCTTTGATGTACATGACTAAAATGTGAATAGACAAAAGGAAATAGTTGAGGAAGTTAACGCAAGAAATACATACGTATTTCAACAATAAAAATATTTGAACAACCCAACAATCAAAACGTTTCAAGTCATTGCATCTACCTTTAAGAAGTGATTTACACCTGCACTGTTATGTAACTAGGGGGAATTTACTAACGGGAAATTTCCTGCAATTGTTTTCTTTTAATTCATTATTAAATCACAAATATGATCAATATATTTGTATATACGTTAAAACTAATTATACAACAATACCTCGCATAGTCCGGTTAAACACTTCTCGCACTGTTTAAAACCGGACTAATAGAGAACTTTGAAATCGTAAAAAGAGCCTTAACTAAAAGATAATTTTGTGTACTGTTTTTTTAGAATTTATAAATTTTCAAACCGTACTTTAGTGAATCCGCACTAATCGAAGCTTCACTATGCGGGGTAATGCTGGGTAATTTGTATATATTATGATATGATATATTATGATATATATGATATGATATATTATGATATATGATATATTATGATGTATATATTATTTATTTTTAATCACTTTAGTATGTTTAATTTAGTTTTTTTTTGATCAGTTAAATTTATACAGAAAATGAAAATTTAAATATGATTTACGTTTCCAAAATAACCGAACAATTTCCTTGAATGTGACCTTCGCTGAAATCGAATCAGTCTTGAGAATCGAAATCGATTTCACGTTTCACCAGAAAAACCAACGACAATAACAAAGAAACAACAATAAAAGAAAGACAAGAAACCGACAATTGAAATTAGTTTCGATGTGCATTCCTGCACTTTCGTCGTGGCTTCTTTATTCCGCTTTGTGTATGTGTGTGTTGTGTATTTTTGTTTTGTCGTTTCGTTTTTGAATGGGAAATTGATGAATGCACACACGCCTCATTAATATGCGTTTAAGGTTTTCGTTCGGTGGCTTCGATGGGAACGAAAACGTTTATATTTTTTGTTGTATGTTCATTTTTTTTATTAAGTACAGACGACGGTTTTCAGGCTAAACCTTGAAGTGGAATGATAATTATAAAAATTTACAATTAATGGTGAGCCTTGTGGTGAGGCCGAATTCGCCTCCCAGCGTCTATTAAACAACATAAGGAAAAGACGAACAAAAATGTGAAAAACACTTAAATACTAATCACTCGACGGATAATGAAAAGCGAAATAATTGGTTAATTAATTAATAATTTTTTCTTGTGTATTGTTTTGCCTTTTTTCTTATTTATTCATTAGAAGTTATTAAATGATGATTTAATTGATGTGATTACTTCATTTATGTCTTTAATTTATTATTAATATTTGAATCAACAAATTCCAAAAATTCAAAAATTAAATTTTAAATTTTTTATGTGTTTTAGTAAATGAAATATACAAATTTATATTTAATTGTAACAAAATTATGAAAACTTGAAGAAAGACTAATTAAGTTAAATGAAATTTCAACTTTAACGTCTTTTTTTAAGTAATTTTAAACAAAAAAAATATTTTTAGTAAAATTATTTAGATTAATAAAGTTAATAAAATATTTTCAATTAGTGAAACAAAGAACAAATAATCTAGAAAACTTTTCTATTTAAAAAAAACTGTTCAATTTGTTTCTGAAGGAACGTATTTATTTGGCTGCCATATATTACCTTCGCTCAACGAAGTATTTTGTTCGTTAATGGAGGTATGAATGTATTTAAATATTTAACTTTTGTAAGTTAAAAAAACTGTTCAATTTCTTTATGAAGGAATGTATTTCCATTACGGCCATGTTTTACCTTCACTCAACGAACTATTTTGTTCGTTAATTGAGATATGATTGTATTTAAATATTTAACTTTTGTAAGTCAAAAAAAAACTGTTCAATTTCTTTATGAAGGAATGTATTTCCATTACGGCCATGTTTTACCTTCTCTCAACGAAATATTTCATTCTTTAATCGAGGTATGAATGTATTCAATTATTTAACTTTTGTAGCAAATTTGAGTTAATTTAATAATTATTTTAATCTCTAGTTTTGTAATTTTATAAGGTAGTAGTAATTAAAAAAAAAACATAATTTAAATTAAAGATTATAAAATGTTATTGACTTGATAAGATTCTAAAATATTTAAATTATTGAAATAATTTTTTTTTGTATGTTTATTCAAGTGATATTGACGAAATTTAATTTAACGTTTGTTTTTTTTTTTAATAATTTGATAATTATATAAATTTTTTAGAAAAAAAAAATTGAAATTAATGATTATAAATTGTTATAATAAAAATTAAGTAGACAAATCTCATGTAAATAATATGTTATAAAAATGCAAATTTAAATCTTGAAAATGTGAAAACGGTGACAAAAATTAATTAATCGTTATTTATTTACGAGGTATCGAAAATAAAACAACTCTAACGTCTGGTTATTGAAGTGGTTTTAGTAATTCTATACAGCTACTATTTTTAGAAGAAAAATAATCGAAATTGTAAAATGTATTTAATTGACGTTTATAACGCCATAAAAACCCTCTTAAAAGATGCAAAGTGTGAGTTTCGAGACCCAAAGTTTACATCCATTTGAACGGATAAACACGCGCATCCGGTTTTATTATATTTTTAACTTCCACCCCAAAAAAAAGTAAATAATTTACACTCACCTTCCACCATAAATATCATGGGTCAAAGGAACACTCTCGTCATCCGAGAAGTTGTCGTCACTATCATTCCTCATCCCCGTGGCCGCCATCTTCACTCAAATCTTGATTCCACCCCTTCTGCAAATAAGAAAATAATATTAACAAGAATTCCATTGCATATTTGCAATTCCGTTCGTGGTTGAGTGATTTACTGATGTCTCCGCGAATCGTAAATCTCTGTTTATGCACGCCCTAAGAATATTTGCATGTGTCTGGATTCATGTTCTCTACACTTTTATTTACCTCACTTCGTTTTGTTTTAATCTCGGATTTATAGGTAACTTGTTTCTATATCCACTTTTTTTTTAGTCTAGCAATGTTATTTTTTTTTCTTCTTAAATATATATTTATACCATGCGACCGTCGCGAAATGTACGAGGATTCACATGGGATTAACATAAATCTATGCCAAGCAGAGCGTGGGAATTTTATTTCGCTACTTAGCATTGCGAGATTTCAATGCTGGATCAAGACACTAAATGGGATAGAGATTTTATTGTTAGTGCGCTTTGTGCGTTTATGGAGTTTAGATTTGTATACGCTATAAAGATGTATTATTTCTATGCGTTCAATGCTAAACAATATTTAATGATATTTACCGTAAACATGTGATGTAATTACAAATTATTAATCATAACTGCTTACAAAATCATTTTAATTAGTAATATAAGTTTTATTTGTATTTTAATTATTATTTAAGTTATATCAGAAAAAAACAAAATGTTTTTTTTTCTTAATTTAATTATTAAAAAACTTAGATTTTAGTGAAATTTTAATTGCATGCATGAATAAAAAAAAGTTTATATAATAGTTGGGTTTTACAAATTTAAATGATTTATTTTAAGACTGAAGAAAGTACAGTTAAATTTGAATCACCATTAAATAATAAGCATTTTTCATCAAAGAAACGTAATGTAACATTTTTACATATGTAAAATGTATGGATAATTTTACTGTATAGTATTTTTTGCAAGAGATTATTTCTTCAACTTTTTATCGTTTATTTTTTTTTGGTGACTTCAATGCTGCGTTAGAGGGAAAACCTTGAGGCAAACCCACACATAATTTATATGTAAATAATAAAAATTATTTACAAAACACATCAATTTATTTGAATATATCTTTTAGTTGGTTTGGTAGAGAAAATACAATATTGAGAGGACAAATTTCTTAGGATATTTTATTAGATAATTTTTAAAATATTAAAACACTTGTTAATTTTTACTTATGAGTTAATTTTAAAGAGTTTACGAAGATTTAATTATATAAAAAGTGACTTTAATGCTGCGTCAAGCGACGAAAAAATGAAAAGTTTTATAAAATTTAATTATTATGGTTTATTTATAATAAATGTATTCATTTGAATCCTCAACTCATTCAAAATTGTATTAATTATAAGTTATAAGATATTAAATTTAGAGACTTCAACGCTGCGTCAGGCGACAAACAAAAGTTGGTTTGATTCATATTAAACAAAGAAAAATAATATTTAACTCTTTTGATTAATATAAAATTTAATTTTGGAGATTTAATAGACAACTATAGATAAATAGTAATCAGAATTTGCAATGAAATTAAGATTTTCAAAGACTTTAACGCTGAGTTGAATGACGAAAGTAAAAAACGGATGTTCAAATATTTTAAAGAATCTTCACATCGTCTTAACTTTCGATTAATCTTATGTAATCTTGCAAAACTCTCATTGGAATTTCACGCAAAGTATACGATTTAATCTAAACGAAAGCGAACGTTGCTTGATACAAGTTTTGAAACTCTCAAATGGATCCAATCAAAATGCGATCATTTAAAAAGTGAACGTTTAATGTCGAAAAAAAAAATCGGAAACGTAATTAAAATAGAATATATTATAAATTAGAAATTCAATTTGTTCTTTTATGCTTTGATGTGTGGATTTATGTTGTTTATATGATAGCGTGTCTCCAAATCAGGAAGTCGCTTGGATTCTGGGCGCGGCGTTACAGTCTATATAATAAATATACATTTTACAAGATCTAGAAGTCAAGTAAAAGAGAAAGAGAGAGAACGAGAGGAAGAATGGTGGTAACAGCCATAATAGAGAACAGAGAGATATGTAAGATTATGTTTTGCGAAACAATCGCCGACTACGCCCAATGAACCATAGCAGAAGGTTATCGGGCTTTTGTTCGTGAAATGCTTTACGAGCTTTCCGGCCGGACTTTATTGTTGCTGCGCCTCCAAACAAAAGGACACTCGTGAAGGTGAAAAAAAAGGAGCGAAAGTCCTTTTTATTATACAGTAATTTGTATCGAATTGATGTTTATGCGCTTTTAATCGAAGCTCTTCAACACACTGAACGAACCACCAAAAAAAGTAGTTTCGGAGTATTAATTGTCGCCTCAAGGATTCAAGCAACGACAATTTTATACCAATTTTTTTAATCTCAAACAAATTAAGTTAAAAACCAGTCGAAATGTAATAATTAATCAATTAAAAGCATATACTAATTTGAGTAATTCAAGTTTAATACTAGTTTCAATTAGTTTGTAGGTGAATATAAAAAATTAACAACTGGGTGAAGAAATATACTGAACTTAATATCAGTTTTGAGGTCACTTTCACGTCTGCAAAAAAAATAATTGTGATTCCAAAAATTTCGAATCCCGATTTTTTTTTAATGTGTGAAATATCAGTTTTGGATAGAAAGAAAACGATCGCGGAATGAAGAAGTCGTTGATGCATTGCGATTCGCTTCCACGTTTTCTAAACTTGCAACGAGGAAGCGAAAAGAAAATGTTGCGTTAAATTAATTGTTCCTCGGCGCGAGTGAAATTTATATTGTTATGATTGTAATTATTATTATTTTGTGCATGCGATACAAAAGAGGGAGACCGTAAAGTGCGCATAATTGTATTGTAATTATTATGTAAAAAATATATATATAAAATGGAAACTGTAACATGTAATTGCGTTTTTATACAAGAATATATTTGCATAAATAGTGCATGTATTGCTTGTAACGGTTTATTCTTTGTTTCAAAGTTCTCCGGTTGATATTTATAAGAATATTGATTATATGAGATCAAGTGGGTGTATATATTTTTTTTTTGATTTTTATGTTTGCGTTATGTATATATTTGCTAAACCTACATTTATTAGAATGTAGCACACATGAAAAACATCTGGAATTATATCTAAAAATTTATTAGTTATTTTTTTTGTTGGTCCTACATATTTCTGCATTTATTTCTGCAGATTCTTCTGTTAATTATGTATAAAAAATCTTAATTGTATAAGAAAAGTAAAAGTAAATATGTCAAGTTATAGAAGTAGTGAGACGGAGAAATAAAGAGAAATTTCTAACAAAACGAATATTTTCTAATCACATCCACAAACAAATGTCACGGTAAAATGCAAACAACTTGAGCGTTTCTAAGCAGATTTGGATACTCATCCGAGCAAATCTAATTGACAGCTGTCAAAAGATATAGGGTATCTACTATTAAATGTCAAGATAACAAAAAACTATTGTACGATTTTTAAATACATTTTTTATTACGAACAAATGTCATTGAAAGCTGTCAAATAAAATATGGTATTGGTTTTGACAGCTGTCAAAAGAAATTGCCTATAGATTGTTTTTTTTAAATAATAGCTGAAATTATGTAATTTTCAAGTTGATAACTACATAACAAATAAATGTTTATTAAATTTATTAATGATTGGAAATAGTATGACAGCTTCTAGATAGATTTAGGTGATCATATAGGCAAATCTAATTGACAGCTGTCAAAAGATATAGGGTATCTACTATTAAATGTCAAGATATGAAAAGACTTTATTGTACTATTTTTATAAAGATTTTTAGCAAATGTCATTGAAAGCTGTCAAATAATATAAGGTATTGGTTTTGACAGCTGTCAAAAGAAGTTGGCTATATTATTGTTTTTTTTTAATAATAGCTGCAATTATGTAATTTTCAAGTTGATAACTATATAACAAATAAATGTTTATTAAATTTATTAATGATTGGAAATAGTATCACAGCTTCTAGATAGATTTTTTTTTTTTTTTAATTTCTACCCCTTTCGGGTTTAACAGCCACCACAAATTTTTGTTGATTTTCGGAATTGAACCAACGACATTTCGTATCAGATGTTCGTGATACAGGCGACCATAGCCACACGGCTACGGCCGCCCTCTAGATAGATTTAGGTGATCATATAGGCAAATCTAATTGACAGCTGTCAAAAGAAATATTGTCATAAACGTCAATTTGACAGTACAAAACATATACTTTTAGTTCGATATGCAATCATCTTATATCAATTTTCAAGTATAATTAGACAGTTTTTAACGATTATAAAAAAAAAAAAAAAATTATGTAATTGACAAAATTATAAACAAGTTAGTGTTTATCGAGTTTATTAATGATTGTAATTAACCTGAGCATTTCTAAACGGATTTGTAAACTAGCCCAGGTGTCAATTAGACATATGTCAAAAACTGGATAAACGTCAATATGACAGTTATAAAAGACAGTTTTAGTTTCAAGTGTAATAAAACAGTTTATAACGATTTTATAATACATTGAGATACATAATTAATTCTAAATTAATTTAGAAAATTTAATTAACTGCTGCGAAATGAAATAATCCATGGATTTTGTACATTTGTGTATCTGTAATTTTGCATCCACGGTAAACGTGACAAGAAACATAAATGTTTGTTAGGTTTACCAACTATTTTGTATAAATAGTAGTTGGTACGTTTGAACAATATGTATGTAAGTTGTCGGGTCTATACCGCAAACCCGACAACTGAAATCCCGACGTTCGAAATCCCGAATGTATTAAAGTTCCGACGCTTGAAATCCGGACAATCAAAATCCCAACTGTATCGAAATCCCGAATATATCGAAATCCCGACAATCAAACTCCCGACTATATCGAAATCCCGATTACCATAAAAATGTTATTGCAGAAATTTACAATAATAAAAGACACTGTCGGGATTTCGATAGACGGGATTTCGATTGTCGAACTTGCGATTGCCACCGAAGTTGTCATGTATCAGTTGCATAAGTGAAATAAATGGTT